CAAAAACACAAAATCAAAAATAAAATTATTAAGAATTTTAAGTCAGCAAGCTTAAAAATTCAAGGGAGACTTTGGTTCTATGTATGAAATAAATATGAAATAAAGCACTGTGCTGAGCATTTTAAATTAAATACAGTTAAAGTGCAACTTTGTGTTGTCTTTGGTTAATGGCATTCTCAATGATTTTTATCTTTTTACGTGTGTTTTCCAGGTTGTCTAGAATGAAACGAGTTGCTTTTGTAATTATTCAAACCCTAATGTTATATAAATATATACCCTACTGGACATTATTTTATATAAGTGTGGTATGTTGCAATTCTGTTCCCATTTTGGGGGAATACATATTTAGACTTTAACCTAAAAAAAAGTGTTTCTCTCCTTACTTCCCCAGGTCCATTAATATAAGATTAGCCACTCTCTCGGATACTCCTGGCGTAGAAAATCTCGTCAGCACCCTCATGCTGAAGAGAAGCATACTGGAGGATTTAACGCAATACAACAAGGCTCGCAGAGACCCTGTAAGTACCTGATGTGACCAGATCTCATGACATAGGACCATTGTGACCCCTGTAGATTCAGCCCTGAAGCTTCTGGACCTCAGCTGGGGAACCATGTGGTGGGAGTGATAGAGGTGGGGTCGGAAGATGGAAACAAGAAGAGAAAACCATGGAAACTGGGATTTAGGGAAGTGAGGCTGTTTTCCTCACTGGTGGCCCACATGGGAGCTGATCAGATACCCCAAATCCTTATCATGGGGATCAGAAATTTGGACTTGATCCAGACAACTGTCACAAAATGAGATAGAGCTTGGTCGCCAGAACTGGCAGATACAGTATGATGGTGGATAGGGAAAGGTAGCTCAGGAATCCATGGGTACTGGGTACTCACCCAGCAGCACCGGGCATCAGATTTAGGGCATAGGACCCCATTTCAACCTACTGATGATGAGTATGATCAGACCCTTTTGTTGAGCTGGCTGCATCCTCAGGGATTGGACGGGCTGGGAAAGATCTTGTGTGATAAATGTTGCGTTCTCATTCTCTAGTGTAGTAATGTATGTATGTGCCATGGGCAAAGGGCGGGCTCTTGGTGGCCTCACATTAACACCACTATCTTAAGGACCACGTCATTTAACTAGACATGGAAAGATACATTTAGGTAGAGAAACACATAGTTACTTTCTGAATTCATTTTATTTGGAAATAAATTTATGGAAGTATAACCAATAAACAGTTTGATAGATTTCACAGTTTGAATATACAGTGTAACCAGCACCTATTTCAAGAAACAGACTAACCCCAGCCCATCAGAAGTCCCCCTCATGCTTCCGTTCGGGCGCTTTCTCCTAAATTAACACCACCGGAACTTCTAAGATCAGAGGTTGGCTATGCCTATTTTTGTACTTTATGTAAATGGAATCATACAGTTTGTTTTCTGATATCAGGTTTCTTTTGCTTAGCAGTATGTTTGGGAGATTCTTTCATATTATGGCATACAGTATTTCATTGCATGAATATACCTACCACCACTTATTCCTTCATTCTACTCTTGAGGTCATTGGGAAATTCC